AGAGACTTTTGTAAAGCTTGTTGAGATGTATTTAAATTATCTAAATCAGCCTAGTAGATGCTAAGATATCTTTAAAAAAAACCTTTTTTTAACTACAGTATATAAATTTTTTTATAAAACAATAGTATTATTTTAAAGAAATTTATATAGTTAAAGAAAGGTTTTTTAAAGATATCTTAGCATCCACCAGGCCAATTTAGATGATTTAACCACCATTGGATGAATCAACAAGCTCTACAAAAGTCTCTTAAGTTAGAAAAGTGGTTAACTTAGTATTAAAAAAAATTTTAGATGTGCACACGTCACATTCGAAAAACCCTAATTTCTATAAATAATCTGCATCACGTTTCATTATGATCACCCTCTGGTTGACTCGTGGATCACCAATTAAGTGAGAAAATTACCAACTAAACTAATAAATTTAAATCACATGTTATATCGCAGATAGCGGGACTATTTTAAACTCTGCAGCATACTACTCTCCCGTCGAGTTTAAAATATAAATATTAATGCGAATATGTGAAATTTTGTGGGTGATCCTGGTTTGCTTCGGACTCTTATCAGATTCTGATTTCCTAGTATAATGTGATAATTTCAAGTTAAGATGATAAAAAAGAAACTTAGCAATTATATACATATGTTTTTATTATTCGTTTAAAATGCCCGCACAATGTCGCATAAATCTCGTAGAAACAATAACAATCACATTTTATGGTCTCTACTTGCAATTTTAAAGCCGGTTTCAGCATATCTGATGAAAAAAAAAATTTAATGATAATCTGGTTAGCACCAAATGATTAAAGTCTAATAAATGATTGGTGGTACTTTTGTTCAATTAAATTTAGAATTCTTGATTGCGTTATGATTATTAGAGATGTTAATACTAGCTAATTAAATTAAATTAGTGTAAGGTATTCTAAATAAAATGTTCTACGCCCCTTCCAAACCATCCTAACTCTAATTACTAACCTTAACCTTAATGTAAAAAAATTGTGTAAAAATTTTATACGTATACAAAATATATAATAAGAGTAAAACACGTTTTACGTTTAAATAATAATATAAATTGTATATATATATAAAATTATAATAATTATATATTTAATTAAAAACATAGATTAAATATCTAGTTTCAAATTTAATAATATTAGTATTATATAACATTTAAAAATTATACGTACATACGTAAATATTTTTTAATTTTCAATACAAATTAAAAAGTTGCACTTTATTTACATATTAAATTATACGAAATTACATTCTAATTTCATATAGAGGATAGTGCATTTTAAAAGCCAAAAGTGTTCACCATTCCGTTTTGGACAATTAATATCGTTTAATACGGGGTTGCTTCAATATTCTTATAGCGTCCTTAGAAAACACATAGCTTATACCAGACCAAATTGTTGTTCCCGCAACAGTATACCTGTGAATTTTCATTCATGTATGTTAGTAAACATCCAAAGATTATAATATGCCTAAAAATATCATCAAATTTTTATTTATGTACATACTGTAATGTTTTCAAGAATGGAACGTTGATCCAACCGAATACTGGGCTAGCAAGCGTCGTACCCATAAGCACTAATTGCAGAGCGGTATTCACCTTTTATAAACATATATTCCATGAGTTCACGAGTTATTACATCGGTGATCGTCTAAAAACTTGAAATTAATCATACCTTACTAATTAGAGTTGGTCTGACTTCTGCTGATGGAATTGATATATCGAAATATCTGGATAATGTTTTCTAAAAAAGTCCTAACATTATTACCTTCATAATTAATTAAATTATAAAATTCCGAAAGATTTTACCGGTGAAGGAAGTGAAATATATCTATAATAAAAGGACGCTAAAATAAGACAAAAATCTCGGCCTAAAATTATAGTCGCTACCGGTACTTAAAAAAAAAGAGTATTATAAGATCAAAAATATTGTTCTTAAAAATAGTTAGAGTACAAAGTATTTTTTGTCAATCAAAATTTACTTGGTAATAAATCCTTCATGGCTAAAGTAATCGTCAGAATGGTCATTAATATTTTATCTGCCAATGGATCTATTACTGTTCCTACCATGGTTTTCAGATTATAATGCCGAGCTATGATTCCGTCTAACTATAAATTTAAAATTTTTATTTTGAAAATCTATAGTCATATTCTATTAAGTTAAATATTATCAAATTCATACCAAATCAGTAACACCAGCATATACAAATGCACATAACGCGATCTCATATTGTTCGCTCAAAATAAAATATCCAATAAATGGAGAAACAATTAATCTAGACAATGAAAGCACATTTGGAATATTTAAAATGGTTTCTCTTAATGGTATCTTTTTGAACTTATAAAAATAGTCATTATTAGCTCATAATGAAGTATTTTACTATTATTTTATTAGTATAAAGTTTATACCTTTTTTTTTGTACATTTGTTAGGCGAAACCATTTTCGTGAATGGTGAAAGACGAAACCTAAGGCCTGTGAAAGACGAAAGACGAAACCCCCTTTCGATAGGAGAGAGACGAGACCCCGGGCGAAGGGTGAAGCCCCTCGTCGAAAGGTGATAACCCCGACGAAATACGAAGCCTCTGGAAAAAGACAATACCTCGAAGATCTAATAAAAAAACCAAAAGCAGAAACATAGCTTATATTGTGAAAATATACCGTTACTGCTAAAAAATATTCTTCAGGTTTTTTTAAATTTACAATTTACCGAATTCATTTGTATGATTGGCTGATGAAATCAATTGTAAGAGTAACTTATTTTACAGTTTAAAGCCTACGTATAGGGTGACTTTCTCGTGATTCGTCAATCACACCGCATGTCAGTCCGCCGCCGATATTCCTAATTAGGAAATCAAGCTCTAGAATAATCCATACGTCGATCCTCGTATCTGATTGGCTATTACGTACGTCGTACTGGCTTTTAATTCTGCATTTTAGCATCTTACAAAAAAAGTCTTC